CTAAATGGATCTTTACTGGATCAAGAGATCTAACCACCATTGGTGTACTCAGAGAGTGAGATTTATCCATATAAAATTGTTTTAATACCTTTGGGTATATGTCGATTGATGGATAAATATTTCATTATTAACATGATCCACTTGTAATCTCAGACAATATTTTGTCTTTACAAAATCTTTGATCTCAAATTATTTATTTAGATATTCAACTGCAATTTGGATCTCTTCAGGAGTTCCAATTAAATTGAGATCATCAACATAAATTGCAATAATGACAAAATTTGATCCATTTTTCTTGATAAAGACGCATGGGCATATTGGATCATTAATATAACATTCTTTTATTAAACATTCGCTAAGACAGTTATACCACATTCGCCCTGATTGTTTATGTTTATACAATGACTTTTTAAATTTGATGGAATATAGTTCCCTTGGGTTTAATTTGTATGCTTCAGGCATATTAAATCCCTCAGGAACTTTCATATAAATATCAGTATCCAATGAGCCATAAAGATATGCAGTAACTACGTTTAAAAGACGCATATCAAGCTTCTCTCGCACTACTAGGCTCACAAGGTATCGAAATGTTATTCCATCAACAAATGGAGAGTATGTTTCATCAAAATCTACTTCAGGTCTTTGTGAGAATCCCTGAGCTACAAGACGGGCTTTATATCTCACAATTTCATTATGTTCATTTCTTTTTCGTAGAAACACCCATTTGTATCCAATTGGTCTTATACCATCTGGTGTTTAAACAATTGGTCCGAAGACCTCTCTTTTATTTAATGATTCAAGCTCTGATTGAATCGCATTTTTCCATTTTGGCCAATCATTTCTTTGCCGACATTCATGAACCGATTTTGGCTCTGGATCCTCATTTTCTTCCATTATATCAAGTTCTAAATTGTATGTGAAGGCATTATCGATAATTGCCTCTTTACGATTTCAACATTTTCTTGAAGTAACATAGTTAATTGAGTTTTCAATAATCTCATCATGTTCTTCAAGATCGTGCTCTTCTGGAGCAATTATTTCAGGGTTGACTTCCTCATTAGATTGAAGTTTATCAATGTCATTCCTAATATTTTCATGATTATCATCATTAATTCCTCTTTTCTTTCGAGAATGTTTGTCTTTTGAACCAAGTGGTTTACCACGCTTCAAGCGTGTCGCTGATTTATTAGTACATGTAATTTGTCCATCAGGGACAATTAATTTAGCCGGAGCATTAGCAACTTGGATATATGATCGAGTGACTTTGCTCGAGTCATTGAAAGTATCTGATAACTGATTTGCAATATTTTACAAATGTATAATGCGTTTAACTTCTAGTTCACACTGCTTTGTACGAGGATCACAAAAATTCAGTGGGATTTTCCAATTAATAACCCTTTTTGGTTCACTTATGTCTCCCCTTAATGTCGAAAAATATGATTCGTAAAAATGAGAATCTGCAAATCTTGCAGTGAATAAATCACCCGTCATAGGTTCAAGATATTTTATAATTTACGGCAATTCATCTCCGACATAAATGCTCAATCTATGTTGAGGACCCATTTTTGTACATTTGGGGGGTGGAATAGGAACATAAACAACACACCAAACATACGTAGATGAGATATATTTGGTTCGTGACCAAATACTAATTTCATAGGGGGAAAAATATGACAGCTTGTCGGCCTCATTCTTATAAGTGTTCATGCATGCAAGATTGCATGCCCCTAAGCTGAAGCGGGCAACATAGACCTCATCTGTAATGATTTAGAAATCAATTGCAATCTTTTAATAAGTGATTATGACAGACCATTTTGTGTATGAACATGAGCAACTGGGTGCTCTACATTAATTCCAATCGACATGCAATAATTATCAAATCCATTCGATGTATATTCACCAACATTATCTAGACGTATAGTCTTAATGAGATTATCGTGGAATTGTGCTCGTAATTTAATAATTTGGGCAAGCAATCTCGCAAATGCCATATTGCGAGTAGACAATAAACAGACATGTGACCATCTGGTAGATACATCAATAGACACCATAAGATATTTAAATGGCCCACATGGTGGGTCTATTGATCCACATATATCCCCGTGTATTCTTTCCAAAAATGTAGGTGATTCAATACCTGCTTTAGTTGGCGATGGCTTGATTATCAATTTTCCCTGAGTGCAGGCAACACAGGTTAACTCATTTGAGTTTAACACTTTTTGACCTTTTAATGAATGACCATACGAATTCTCAATTATTCGCCTCATCATTATACTGCCAGGATACCTAAGGTGATCATGCCATATTTGAAAATCGGTAGTCTTTTGATCTACCGTGAGGTGTGTTTCAACAACACCTAATCTGGCATAATATAAACCAGTAGAGAGTGAGGGTAATCTCTCAATGATGCATTCTTTTTATCAATGATATTGGTGATCAGTAAAAATTCACCATCGGTATTACTCATAGTTTCAATGTGATAACCATTTTTCCTAATGTCTTGAAAGCTCAGTAAATTTCTTCGAGCTTTAGTGGCCAACAATGCATATTGTATCACAATTTTCGTCCCCGCGTGGAGAAAAATATATTGGCCTCTCCAAAGCGTTTAATTAATTTTGCACTGCCACTTGTTGTATTGACATTCATTTTTTCCCTTTTCAAATGGGAGAAATCTTTTTCGTGTTTCAATATAGTATTTGTCGTTGCACTGTCAATGAAACAAATATTTGCATCCTTTTGATTGACATTCATTTAACCTTCAAATATAAATAAATGTAGTATTAATAAATATTACAAAATAAATTACAAAAAGGTAATATGTGATAATTTAAATATTACAAAATATAAAATGGCATAATGCAAAATGACATAGTATGTTTGTCATTGGGGGTTTGTTGAATCTACGAAAAAAATCTGCTATATCAAGATGCGTTGTGTAATAATCTAAAAGATCATCATCAGGGTCGTCATCATTATCAATGTGATTAATCTCGACATCCTTCCCTTTTTTTCTGCAGTGAGGCTTAATAAAGATCGGCTACGTGTTTGACTGTTATGTAGGTATTGGCCCAATGGCCTTCAATACCACACCGATTACAAATATCGATTTGTCTCTTTCCCTGTTTAACCTTTTCAGCTATATCCCCATATTGGGGTTAACTTTGTTTCTTGTTAATGTCAAAACTGCGGTTATTGTAAGGGGTATATCGACCGTGTTGACTCTCACGACCGCGACCACATCCACGGCCTCTATCACGTCCTCGGCCTCGTTCAGAAAATGTCACATTCGCTTCAGGGACGGACTGAACCAGCGGGCCGGGACTGATGATTTTTCATCAGTAACTCGTTATTTTGCTCAACTAATAAAAGACATATTATGAGTTGTGAGTACTTTTGAAAATTTTTCTCACGATACTGCTGTTGCAACACAACATTAGAAGTATGGAAGGTAAAGAGAATCTTTTCCAATTTATCATTCTCAGTAACAATTTCTCCGCAGAGTTTCAACTGAGATGTAATATCATGGATAGCAGAGTTGTACTCTGTAACACTTTTAAAATCCTGCAATCGCAGGTTAAGCCAATCATGTCGGGCTTTGGGGAGAGTGATATATTTCAAGTGCTCAAATCTCTCCCTCAATTCATTCCACAAATCAAGTGGATCTTTCACCGTCAAATATTCGGACGGTAAAGGAATGTCCAGATGGTGACGAATGAAAATAATAGCCTTAGTCTGATCTTGGCTTGTAGCCGTATTTTCGCTGCCAATTGTATGTAAAGCTGTTAAACGAACCGAGCCGTTCGTGAACTCGGCTCAGTTCGACTCGATTCGGTTTGGTTAAAGCTCGTTCGCAAATATTAACGAGTCGAACCGAACAACATAAACAGACTCGCTTAGTTAACGAACGAGTCCGAACTTTGTTCAAGAACGTTCGTTTAAATAATATATTTATTATAGATATTATATATACATATAAAATTATAATTTATAAATAAATAAAATATTAATTTAAAATATATAAATAAAATAATTTTAATATTTTTATATAATTTATATATAAATTTAAAAAAAATAAGACACACGAGCTCGAACAAACTCGAATGAGCTAAATTGATCCTAAACGAGCCGAACACGAATACGAGCTCAAACAACAAAAATTCTTAACGAACCGAGCTCGAACACTACGAACGAGCTCGAAAGCTTAACGAATGAACACGAGGCTTGTTCGCGAACGTTAACGAACACTTAAAATTTGGCTAAGCTCGACTCGGCTCAGATCGTTAACAACTCTCATTGTATAAACAAGACCCATAGAAGTCAGATGCATTTCTATATCCATTGACCAAGTCAGAAAATTATTGTCAGTGAGAGACAGAGGCTTAAAAAGAAATTTTGCAAAATTTTTTATAGTTTCAAAAATAAATAATATAAAAATAAAACTTATCAAAAATAAAATAAAATATGCAAGAGTCTTTTGATAACGTATTATATAATAATCTAATATATTAGTAAATATAGATATATATATATATTAATGTAATATTAATGTATTATATATATATAGAGAGAGAAATAACTGAATAGAAGGTGGAAGTATGCAATAAGTGCAAGCGGATAAAGAAAAAAATTGTGAATTGATTGTTAATTTTTTCAATTGGTACATGTAATTTATAGTAAAAAAATAAAATAAATGTATAATTAGTAATCATGACAATAAAACATCCACACTACTATTATATATATTATAATGAGTTTGTAATATCTATGTATATAACATTGTAAACATGATTAAAAAAAATATAAATTTTATTGGATGTTATCCTTATTTTTAAATAAAAAAATATATGTATATAAGTAGAAAAAGAAATACGAGAAGCTATTTGTCGGTGGAGTGCGTTTATCTAGCGACGCGTGGAAGCACACGTGCTAAGAACCGAACACGTGCAGCCTTTGCATTTATAGTAAGCGCATCAGCTCGCGTTGTCCTTTGCTTATCCGTACTTTTCCATGCGGTTGACGACATGATCCACCTTCTACGTCCTTCCACCGCACCCTAACTCTATAAAGTGGTTCCACGGGGGCCTGCCCGGACACAGAAAATTGCGTACTTTCGATTGGCTGTTTGATACCGAGAAGATCGAGTGAAAAATGTCAAGCACTCAAGGTCAGGTCATCCGCTGCAAAGGTTAGAGTTCCTTGATCGTTGATTCTAAATTTATTATGAAAATTGTACTCCGAAGTGTGAATATTTGCAAGCGATATAGATATGAGTTGCGGTTTTATTTGCTTGTTGAAGAATTTTTTGTTTTGGGGGATAAAGATTGTTTCCAGTAATGTATGAATTATTTGAATATCTGTATTCTAGCCGCGGTGGCGTGGGAAGCGGGGAAGCCACTGTCTATCGAGGAAGTGGAGGTGGCGCCGCCGCAGAAAATGGAAGCTCGCGTGAAGATTCACTTCACCTCCCTTTGCCACACCGATGTTTACTTCTGGGAAGCCAAGGTATAATACAATATAGTATACCAATCGAGATGCTCCCTCCCAAAAACCTAACTACGAAACTGTACAGATGTGTAAAATTGCAGCCTAATGATCATAAATTTGCACTTCTGAGGTTCATTCATTTGATTTCTACCCTAAATTATTTGTTTGATCCTAATTTGGAATGCAGGGACAAACTCCTCTGTTTCCTCGCATATTTGGGCACGAAGCTGCAGGGTATTGATACAAAAATCCTCATGCTAACATCATCATTAATTTGCTGCCTCTCACTCTGAGAAAAGAATTGAAAATCATATCCAATTGCGTTCGCTTGTTCTGTTCTTCAGGATCGTGGAGAGCGTGGGCGAAGGCGTGACTGATCTCCAACCTGGAGACCATGTTCTTCCCATATTCACCGGGGAATGCAAGGAGTGCCGCCACTGCAAATCAGAGGAGAGCAACATGTGTGACCTTTTGAGAATCAACACCGAGAGAGGATCCATGCTTAGTGATGGCCAAACAAGGTTCTCCAAGGATGGAAAACCGATACACCATTTCTTGGGAACATCAACCTTCAGTGAGTACACCGTCGTCCACGTTGGTTGTCTTGCCAAGATCAATCCCGCGGCGCCGATGGACATAGTTTGTGTACTCAGCTGTGGAATATCCACAGGTACGCTCCTCCCTGCATTTTTTGAACTTGTATGTTAATGATCTGCTAGTTATTCATAGAGTTTGTCTGTCTATGCTTTTCCCTGCTGGCTGAAGGATTTGGTGCAACTGTGAATGTTGCAAAGCCAACCAAGGGTTCCACAGTCGTCGTTTTCGGTTTGGGCGCTGTTGGTCTTGCCGTGAGTTCATCATAACATACATATATATATATATATATATAGTTCACATTGTTGAATATTCTCAAACAGTTGAGTAACATTGTGTTTTTGATCAGGCCGCTGAAGGAGCTCGAGTTTCAGGGGCTTCAAGGATCATTGGTGTCGATTTAAACACAAATCGTTTCAATGAAGGTTCTTCCTATACCATTACGTCCTATTCAATAAATAAACTAGTATGGATGCAATTATCATATTAGTAAATGTTGATTGGTTGCTGTAATTTCCAACAGCGAAGAAATTTGGTGTGACTGAATTTGTGAACCCAAAGGATCACGACAAGCCTGTCCAAGAGGTTTATTCATGATTGAATATAGACATGTGGTGCTCTCTTTCTTTCTCTTTTATTCTCCTCTTGTCTTTATCTTCAGGTGATAGCCGAGATGACGGATGGTGGAGCAGACCGTAGCATCGAGTGCACAGGGAACGTAAATGCGATGATATCTGCCTTCGAGTGTGTTCATGATGTATCATCATCAATCCTCCGTTAACTAATTTTCAGTTTGTCTTACCAAATAAATGTAATGATAATGAATGTATGAATGTGTGTGCAGGGGTGGGGCGTGGCAGTCCTGGTGGGCGTTCCAAGCAAAGACGATGCCTTCAAAACTCACCCGACAAACCTCCTGAACGAGAGGACACTCAAGGGGACCTTCTTCGGAAACTTCAAGCCACGCAGCGACATCCCCAGGGTTGTGGAGAAGTACATGAACAAGGTACGTAGAACAGAACATATGCCATTTAAACCTTCTCAATTTAATTATATACGACGTTGTGTTGTGTGGATTGATTGGATGGTGATCATCATCATCATCATCTCATGTCGTCCTCAGGAGATGGAGCTAGAGAAGTTCATCACACACAGAATTTCATTCTCGGACATTAACAAGGCGTTTGAGTACATGCTGCGAGGGGAGGGCCTCCGATGCATCATCTCCTTGGAGAATAATTAACCTGCTGCATCTCACTCAAGTCACTATTACTATTATACTAATACAATTTTGCAGTATGCAATGAGAGACGCCGCACATTATCATATGAATGAGGTAGCTCAGGTTGGCTTGTGCAGAGGCTTAGTACTTACTAGTAAAATGTTATAATTGTATCTATCCTTGATATGTCTATATATATAATAATCGAGAGGGAGAAGGAGAGGGTTATTAAGCGGCAGTAAGGGTGACTTATCTGTCTACTTTTTCACTATTACCCAGAGTAATAAATAAGGGAGCAGAGTTGCTGAGGGCAGGGGTGGGGTACATGATTTCTTGCAGTAAAAAAAAAAATTGGTCCAAGTTCTTTGCTCCAACTAGGTGTTGCAATTTGGCCGCCGGTCCGGTTTTATGCCGATAGTAGAAGGAATAGAACCCACCACCAATTAATTAAAACTAAACTAAGAATTTTACCGTATGTTACACATGATTGTTACTTGTATACTAGATAGGATGCATTGGATGCATTTTATTACTATCTGAGTCATTGTGGCAAGTTAATTACCACTCATTAAATCTCAAATTTACTATAAATATGGGTACCAATGAATGAAATGAGACACATCAAATTATATATATTTCCTCCCGTGTCTCAATAACCATCACATATTTAGACACATATTTTCATATATACATGCATATATATACCATATATATACTTATATTCATTTATTTAATAGAGACGCATCCACCCAACATACATATTGATATATACATATATCTATTTTATCTATTATATATATTATATACAAATTATAAAATACTAGTAGCAGTAAAAATAATATACAAACTATAAAATATCTATTTTATCTATTATATATATTATATACAAATTATAAAATACTAGTAGCAGTAAAAATAATATACAAACTATAAAATACTAGTAGCGGTAAAAATAATTAATATTTATATTGATTAATTTTATAATAATATTACAATATGTTATCAGCACGATTATATATTTTAATTTTCACAAAGTAATATTTTATATTTTATCTGTTTATTATATTTAGCATTGCCAACCGGAATTTCTCTCTTCTTATTTCTGGCCAAAATTATATAGTCTGGGTTCAGTGATGTTAAAATGCATTTGGCATTAGTGGGTTCGAAAAATACCATTATCTGGGAAAAAAATTTCGCGAGCCAAGATCGTGCAAAGGCCATAATTTTTTTGTGTCATTACATTGATGAGACATTGAAAATATATGCAACGTTGGAATTTCCATTGGAATTGTGGGAGGGATTGAAAGAAAGATACGATTATATGAGGCTCACTACGTTGCCAAGGGCACGAAGCAAATGGCAAAGCCTACGACTTCAGGACTTTAAAACAATCCAATAATATAATTCTGACATGTTAAAATAACATCATAGTTGCGCCACTGTGACGAAAATATATTTGAATCTGATATGATGGAGAAAATATTTTTCAGTTTGCATGCCTTTAACATGGTTTTGCAGCAGCAATATTGCGAAAGAGGCTTCCAGAAATATTATGAGTTGATCACCCGTCTTCTGTTGGTCGAACAAAATAATGAATTGTGGTTAAAAAATTATGAATCTCGGCCGACAGGTACAAATTCATTTTCAGAGGCAAATGCAATACAACCGGAAAATCCGGTGCGTGGTCGTCTGCAGGTCAGAAATCAACGAATTAATCGTGATCGAAATTAGAATCGTAGTTGAGGCTGAACAAACGCATACGGTCACAATAATTATCAAAACAAGCTCCGATATGTGCGAAATTGGCGTTATATTGACAAAAGGCCGTTCAGACCTCATCAGAGGTTCAACACCGGTAGAAACAGAAACAATGACGAAGAATGCACCCGGTGTGGAATCAAAGGCCATTGGGTCTATATTTGTCGCACAACCAGTTACTTGGCTGAATTGTATCAGGCCTCAAAAGAAAGGCAAAGAAAAGTTGTTGCCGAAACAAACCACGTTGTCCGATGTCACATTTAATGATGCGATGAATGAAAATATCACGCACCTAGATGTGGATGATCTGCTTGACATAGCTGATGATGTTAAATGATAAAATATTGTTGTATCTCTTCTGTTATTTTGATGCTTTCTGTCCCTCCCTTTTTGTATTACCCCTTATAATATAAATCTATTTTGATTATGTTACTAATATATGTCTTTTTCTATTTTTTACCTTATTGCAAATATACGGATGCCAAATATTTTGGAGCCGATGATAATACATGATTTATAGACAGTGCTACGACTCACAACATTATGAAAAATAAAAGTTATTTCTCCCAATATGGGAAAGACCACTACTGTTACTATCAGTGGTGCATAAAAAATGATCGAAGGCTCAGGGAAAGCTATTGTATTTCTCCCTAAAGGGATAAAATTTGCAATTGAAAATGTCTTGTTCTCGAGCAAAGCTCGAAGGAATTTACTTAGCTTCAGTAATTTTCAAAAAAATAGGTATCATATTGAAACATTGAATGAGACAGAAAATGAATATCTCTTGATAACTCAGATTGTGAATGGCAAAAGAATTGTGAAAGAAAAGTTGTCATCATTTTCTTCTGGCCTGTGTTATTCAAAAGTCAGTGTCATTGAAACATATCAACTAGTAGACCAAATGGCTACTAGAGAATTTAAAACTTGGTATGATTGACTTGGGCATCCTAGCAATGCAATGTTAAGGCGAATTGTTGAAAATTCAAATGGCCACTCATTGAAAAAGAAAAATATTTTGAGTCCAAATGAATTTGCTTGTGTTGTCTATTCCCAATGGAAGTTAATAATCAGGTCATCTCCAACGAAGGTAGGATTTGAATCCCCAACTTTTCTGGAAAGAATTCAGAGTGATATTTGTGGACCTATAGATCAACTGTGTGGACCCTTCAAGTATTTTATGGTACTAATTGACGCGTCAACGCGATGGTCACACGTATGTTTGTTATGTACTCGCAATATAGCTTTTGCTAGACTACTTGCACAAATAATTAAATTGCGAGCATAATTTCTAGATCACCCTATAAAGAAAATACGTTTAGATAATCCTGTGAGTATTCATCACATACATTTGATGATTACTGCATGTCAATTGGGATTACTATGGAACATCATGTTCCCCATGTACATACGCAAAATGGCCTCGTTGAATTCCTTATCAAAAGATTTCAATTAATTGCTAGACCATTGTTAATGAGGTCTAAGCTTTCCGTATCAGCTTTGGGACACACCATATTGCATGCAGCAACCCTCGTAAAAATAAGGCTGACAAGTTATCAATGTTATTACCCCTCACAATTGGTATCTAAAAAAGTACCAAATAAATCTCATCGACGAATTTTTTGGTGTACTATTTATGTGTCAATTGCACCACCCCAACACACAAAAATGGGACCTAAAAAAATTTTAGGTATATATGTCAGGTATGAATCACCCTCGATTGTAAAATATCTTGAACCAACAATTGGTGATTTATTTATTGCAAGGTTTGCAGACTGTCACTTTGATGAATCTCATTTCCCGACATTAAGGGGAGACAGTAATCAACTGAAAAAAGAAATTTCGTGGAAAATACCACTTGAATTTGATCCTCGTACGAAATATAATGAACTTGAAGTTCAAAGAATTGTGCATTTGCAAAAAACTGTAAATCAATTGCCTGGTACTTTTAATGATCCTGCCAGAGTTATGAAATCATATATTACAGCAGAAAATACACCAGCTAATAAAAATATCCCAGAAGGAAAGGTTCCGAGTGCTAATGAGCATACTACCACGTGTAAAACGTGGCAGACCGTTGAGTTTGTTTAAATCAGAAAAAATTTTCGATTAAAAACAGTTTGTTTTGCAAAGATTTTTTTTCATGTATAGCTCTTCTAATCTTTCCCACAATTCTTTTGTAGAATTAAATTTTCCTACTTTTCTAATCACAAAATCAGATAAGTTTAAGATAATCAGAGAATAAACACATTCATCTATTTCAACCTTTCTTTCATCAGTCATTAACGCATTATAATCACCATCAATTGCTTTGGAAACTTTTTGAGTTACTAAAAGTCCTTCCATTTTTTGTTTCCAAATTAAAAAATCAAATTTTTCATCGAATGGTGCAATATTGAAGGAAAACACAGACGTCATATTGAAAAATATTTCACACAGTCACATAGAATGGCTATTAGTGGTCAACTACCTAGTCCTTTTGGGAGAAACTTGGTACGTAATAGCCAAGTCACATATACAACCAAGTATGTCAAGCAAGAATTCACTAACTATCAGTGGTCAGCTACTTACTCGCTCTTGAAGCAGCCAATTACATTATAGTAGTGTCATACACATCAAATAGGATAAGGCAAGAAAATCAAGTATCAATCACCAAGATTTATCACACATAAATCACAAAGATTTAGGGATAGCCTTTCGTTACCAAATTTGATTTTACAATGTTGAACCCGTGTTCAATCTCAATCTGTGCTCTGATACCAATGTTGAGTTTCTTTTGATAGAATTGGACTTCGGGGGTAAGCTGTAAACACAAGAAAGCTCACACAGAAGGTAAGGAAGATAAATAAAAAAATTAGATAATCGATCAGGTAGGCTCAGATTCACAGCCACTCCCTTCATCACCCCAAGTCATCCAATGTTTCCGACTTCACATAGGATCGATTATTGGTATGCAAAGTCGATCGTTAAGGCAAAACTCTACATAGGGAAAAAACCATAAAATGATTGTGGAAAGGATCCATGAACAATATCATCAAAGTATTACAGTAAATCCTTCTCCCAATCTCAAGTTTCTTTCTATTTTTCACGCCCCACAAACACACCGAGTAACCCTATATTTATAAGTGAGAGGAAATTGGACAAACTATTCCAGGATAGGGAAGCCAAAATTACCTGATGCAAAGGCGATGGAGTAGGAACTGCCATATTTCGAATTTGAGCCGAAGAAGAGGAAAAACTCACTATATTTATCCCATCGGTTTTGGAATAGAATGAGAGAAGAGAGAAAGAATAGGTTTGTAGGATTTCTGGGTGAAATTGGAGAATCCATCGCACTTTATCGGGTTAGGAATCATAGGGGTCAGACTTGGGTCACAATTGGGTTGAGTCGGTTAGGATCTATTTGGGTCGGAGTTCAAATAGTTAAGGCAGAAATATACTTTTTTAGTACACAAATTTTATTCAGTTGAGATCAATATTTTTATAAATATTACATTCCGATTTAAGTGTATCAGTTATTTTATAAAGATTTATTTTCATATTTGAATTGAATCAAATGATTTATTATGGGTAATGCTTTCAAGATTGAGCATCACACATTTTTTACTTCAAATATATTATTGATCACTTGATTCTTATTTTTTACTAATGTCC